GCGTCTCCTGCAGTGAAACCAGATATGCATCGTGTTACTGGAAATATTGGTTAGTGCTCTCTATACATTTTAGTCTACTTGATAACTTTGAACTTTATGTAGTTTCTTTAGCCAATGCTATTATGTATTCTCAATCATTTTTTTAAATTGATAGATTTTATTGTATGCATTTTACTTTATCTATTTATTGTTACTGTATTTTAATCAATGTTTAAATGTTTTTTTCACCGATGTGTCTGTTAATAAAGCATTCAGTTCAATTCAATGCAATTCAATTCAACTGCTGTTATCCCTCCTCACATAAATCATTGTTTTCTTGAATTGTCTTTACGAGCGTCCTCTGTCACAATAAGCATGCACTGGAACGATCTACAGAATGTAGTATGTGAACCAGTGGTGCTCCTTTGACCAGTAGTCTTCCATGTGATTATCAATGGTTCCCAGTGTCCACCAGTGCTTCGCTGTTTGCAAACAACCATGAAGTTGCAGATAATCCAAAACAGTCCTGATCTTGTAATGATTGCAAGGCTGGGCCGAGTTTTTAATCAGTCAATTATTTCAGGAATCTAACAATTAGGCTCGGAAGTCTCTAAAATGTTGTATCCAAATGCAGGGATGAGTGAAAGACAAAGTTCTGGCTTTAATGATTGAGGGCTCCTCAGAGCATGCTTCATAGCAAGGTGCTGAAATTACTTCAGCATGCTGCAGGGATCACATTTCTTCATCAAATGGGAAATGATTTTCAAAACGTCTCTGTTCTTGGATTTCACCCATCGTTGGTGGAGTTGAGTTTCTGGCAGACTGAACGGCCAAGGTGAAGTCTGGAGTCTGTCAACTCTCAGGCCGCGCCAAGTGAGGATCTCCGCTTGTCTGTCTTCCGCTCCGAGATAACGGTGCTCCACCGTGACTTCTCTCAAACCTTTCAGCAGCACTCAGAGGAGGCATGGTGTAAAAAAATACTAAGAGGACCATGGAATACCACTTAGAATGTCAATGGAAAATATAGCTCAGTCAATCTGATCCAGGGCCAGCTCGGTGCAGAGTGGTAAAAAAAAATCTGATGGTTTTGTTTTAGGAAATGTAGAAAATTATGTCCAGAACAGCTGATCCACAAAAACCCAGCAGGGCATCTTGTTAGAGGGTCTACATGCTGCCAATACTTGCTTGTCTCACGACTGAAAACATCTCTGAGATAACTTTTGTGTGTTGTTTTCTCTCTTTTTTACAGGCTTAGCTCTGGATGCCTTGGTGTGAAGGGTCTTGACACCCCCCACCCCCCACCCCCACCCCCCCCCCCCGTGACAGAGGTATATGATGATAGAGTCATTAATACGCAGGAAGCAGAAGGGAGACCGAGGATGTGTTGCACCAAGCTCTGAATAAAGACCCGATACCAAGCAGACAAGACCCACAAGTTTTCACACAACCCTCGGTCACAATCTTTATTAGAGATTTATCTTTCTCCTGCTCCTCAGAGGGAGTTTGGCCTGATCCAGGGTCAGATAAATAAAGAGAAATGAAGGGACCTAAAATACACAGGAGATAGTAAGTGCTGGGGCCCAAACCGCTAATATGTGGTATGTGGTTGGTGCCGCTGTGTGCATGCAGCGGCTACGCCGCTTTATCCTGTTGTTTAGTTGTGAACAAACATTACTCACAGTGAGCGGCAACCCAACATTAGACTTCGCAAGCACCAGAACTAATGTGGAGTTTCTATTCTGTTTTATCGGTTGTAGATTTCTTTTTAAAGAGCAAGTTTTACTCCACTCCCATTTCCTGTTTGAAAAATGCACCACAAGGAGGCGTTGCCTGGCAGACCGAGAGGGTGGAGCTGCTAACAAATACACACACTCACCGGCGCACAATGACATTGTGACATCATATGGTACCAGCTTATATCATAGGGACCTCTTACCCAATATCAATGGCAGATTTAAATTGAAATGTAGTGCAGTTTTTACCTGAAGAGGGCGCAATACTGACGGTTTTAGGCAGAATATTTAAATTTTAACCAAGATGCACTAAACTGCCACATTATTGACTACTTGTGTCCACAGGACAATTAAACACTCATTTAAATAGTTTATTAGCCAATAAAAAAGTTGATTGGGGTGACTTGCTCTTTAACCCTTTGATGCATAATGGTCACTACAGTGGACGGGTACTCAAAATTGTTATTTATTTATTTTTGCTATTAAGCACAGCTGTTGAAGACTTTATTGCATTTGAGCCCCTCCCTTTGGACTTCAGTAAGGCAAGCCACCATATTTCATGTTCAGAATGCACGCCTTCCACTGAGATGGACATGTAATAAATTATTTGTAAATTAACAAAATGTTACAAAAAATATTTGTTGAAATTTGTTTCATTCACACCTAAAGATGAATGAAAAAAATTGTTTAAAAAATCATGGTTGAAGATCTCATAATTCATGCATCAGAGGGTTAAAGACAGAATTTCAAAGTGGATCATGTGATTTGATTTTATAACCATTTACAGTCAGTTAGTTTTTCAGAAACAATAAGAAACTCCTTAACTTGACCTCTGGATGAACCAGAGGTCTACATGTTTATTCTATAGTTTCACTTAAAATCATTCAATGCAAATTAACAATGATGTTAAGGTTAAAAATGCAATGTTTTCATGGACAACAGTGAGATCTTGATGGCTGGGATGTTTTTAAACAGCAGCAGAATAGTGATGGGAATTCCCGGTTCTTTTGGCTCAGCTCACCAAAAAGAGCCGGCTCTTTCGGCTCCCAAGTGGCTCCTCAGATTTTCTGTTGTGTAGAGCACATTTATAACCAAAATAATGCTAAACTATATGTACAATGGTTTACTAATGTAAAAAAATATGCAATATATCGAATATTTATTATTTCTATGGATTTAATAACTGAACACTTTAAGAAATCTCCACTTTCCGACTGCTGGCGCTCATTTTCTCACCGTCTTCGTCGCACTCTCTCTCGATCGCCTTTTTCCTCCTCCTCATCCTGTCTCGTCTCCCTCCACCCGCATGTGCTCCGCTGTGTGTCTGAGTCTGATCCTCCCTCTTCCCCGCTCCTAGTGCTCTGTGTGTGGACAGTCTGGACACGCAGTTACACATGTTGACCAATCGCCTGCAGCTTTCACCAAAGCAAGAGAGGAGGGGGGAGGGGAGTGGACAGGTCCCAAGGACGAGCCGGCTCCCGTCCAGGGGTGGCGTTAGGCCCGGCTACTTGGGCTCAAGCCCCGAATGTTTTATGAAAAGCCCCAGATCTAAAATGTGGAAGTAACGTGCAGTACCAAAGTCCAACAGAGAGGGAGCAGCTGGCAGAAGTTTGTATACAGCCTGCCTGAGCCTCCACCACTGAAGAAGAAGCCCTACAGCAGCCGGCTTCTTCTACACTCTCTGCCTGAAACGCATGAGTGAAGATAGACATAAGGACGTTTTTTAGACAAAAAGTACAATGACAGAACCCCAGCTTTGATGAGACTGGTGTTGACTCAGGTTTGTGAGTCTGACCCCGGGTTTCCACAGGAGCCGTCAGCAGCACGTTACTGCAGCAGCACGTCTTGCTCGCGTAAGCTGCTGCTTGGCCCTTCCCACGAGACACGAAGCAGCAGGGGAGCAGCTGTCACCGACCGAGCACGAAGTCACACGAATGACTTCGTCAGTAAACACAATAACAAGCAGAAGAAAATTACAACATGGTTTGTGTTTTATGTTCTGTCTGTTTTATAATCGCCAATACGGACCTGAAAAACAAAGGAGACCGCTAGCCAGGTGATAACTTCTCACGGGGCCGCACAGTTAGTAACCTTTTTTAAAGTAAAGCAACCGGAAGGCAGTACGTTCTTTATTCTGAAAATCTCGGGAGCTTCTCTCCATTTCCGCATCCGATTTCCTGTCTTTCCTTCCCCAAAAATGTCTAACTTGACCCGTTTCAGAGACATCGCACGTAGAAAATAGAACTGGCGCGTAAAGGCCGCGACATGCTGCTCCTGAGACGCGGTCGACTCGCGCTGCTGACGGCTCCAGTGGAAAAGGTTCTGTTGACCACAGCGGTTCCTATCAGCAGCTATGACGTGCTGCTGCAGTAGCGTGCTGCTGACGGTTCCTGTGGAAAGCCGGTGTTATTTGAAAATATTTGTTGTGCTGCTGGTTTGCCTAAAGTTAGCATACTGTCAGGTAAAGTTGATGGAGAAAGAAAGGGAATATTTACTATCATCTCACACTAAACACTAACAGGAACAATACTCTGCCCTGAATATGCTTAATATGTAGCTTCAGATTAAAAATTATGTGGTACAAGACAAATATATGTGATGTTGACTAGTGCGTGTCATGTGTGTGTGTGTGTGTGTGGGCGCGCGTGTGTTAAGCCCCGGATCTTCAGTCCTAAATCCGCCCCTGCTCCCGTCGTTCACTTCAAAGAGCCGGTTTGCTCGCGACTGACGCATCACTACAGCAGAACCGTGTAGACTAGCCTTTAGCTCATCACTCCTGTAGGATGTAATCCTTCATTTTCTAAACAGGTTGGTCAGGAAACTTCTCATTTCAGATACTATTGTAAGTTTTTATAAAAATACAAAAATTAAAACAAAAATTACTTCTTTAATTAATCTAGTAAAACATGTAAAGTAATGAAATGCATATAAAACATTCCTGCAAAATTCTATTTTTAGCAACAATGGACCTTAAAATATTATTTATTTGGGCAGTCCGCAACCTTTTTTCTTTTATTTTACATTTTATTTTTAAGCATTGGGACAAAAACAACACGTTATGAGATATGACAAAATTTTGATCCTGCTGCAGACATGCCATACAGATCTTGTAGAAATCTGGATGGAAAGGTTCAAACTATCTATTATTTATGCTAGTTGAAAAAAAAAGTGTGTGTGTGTGTGTGTGTGTGTGTCATTTGGTCAGTTAGGAGCTGCTTCAGATTAATTCGGCCTGCTGATGATTGTTGTTCTCTGAATATTACGTTCATCTTCAACAAACACATGCCACTCATTCAGATTTTTATTCATTGCTGTGACCAAGTTACTTCATTAAAAAAAAGAAATTTAACAAATCAGACGATACAAGGAGATATGTATTTGGTCATTGGACTGAAAATCCAGTCTCCGTTCAAATAAACAAAAACTCAATTTATATAACTTAATAACAAGAAACAAACTCTGGTCACAACTTCATTTGTTTGGACAAAATCATAATTTATATGCTTTAACCCAACGTTGCTCTCCACTGGTCAGCGTAGGGGTTGTGCTGAAGTACAGTACCAGGGTCAGTAGAGACCTCGTTGTTGGCTCCGCCTCTTCCCAGCATGCAGCTATAGTGTGAGGTGTCAGAAGTAATCCGGGAGGTTCAAAAGGTGCGATCAGAAACACAAGACCTGGTTCTGCCTGGATCAGGTGTTTTATTTTATGATGCTGCCATGGATGCTCAAACCTAAACACCAGGATGCCCTTTGATTGTTTAAATGAATCTTTGTTTCTGCACCTCGACTGAAAACCAAGAACTTTAAGTGCAGCTTTGTAAAAGGAAACTTTGCACATTCAAGATGCATTTAAAACAAAACTCCTCAATCGTAAAATAACATTTTAAATGAAGATTTGGCTTCCTCAGAACTTGTTTTTCCTCCTTGGACACAACCCTTTAGATGTGCTTTTATTTACAGATAGAATTAGTTTTTAACAATTAATACTTGCTTGGCTGATAAGGGTTTAATACTGAAATGTATTTTTAAAATCAAAAAGAACAAACGAGTCTACGAGGGTGAAAGTTTTAAAACCATCCTCTGGCTTCTTGTAAACCATCATCTGAATGGAACGTGGAACAGTTGAGGATTAAACGGGGCTTTTCTTCTTCTTGTGTTGTTTTGTTTTCCTTCATTCTGGATTATCTTGTTCTGTTCTCAAACGTGAAAAGGCAACACTGTCTGATAACGCAGAGTGAAAACATCCCCTTTGGGTCACGACATTCTTGTGCAGAGGCAGCGGCTCTACGTGTGTCCAGCTGAGCGCCGGCGCACGTTTCGGCAGCTAAACGCCACGATAAGAGAGGAATCCTTCGCTTCGTTGATGAAACCCAAGGCTGAGATGGAGGGAGCTGTTTGCTTATCGGCGTATGCTTACCAGCAGCCACTGATGGCTTGCCAGAAAGCAGAGTCCGACTGAGACAAAGCAGCGTTCTGTTTACAGCCAAGATGAAGACCTCAGTCAAAATAAAAACACGGATAACTCACTGAGTATTTTCTGTGTGTGTCCTAACACACACGTGTGCTATTAGAGTTCCTCAGAGGGTGAGCTCACTCTGCCTTTAAGGCACGTATCGTTACAGGGAGTGTTTTTTTTACTCGGAACAAACCCTGGATAATGACTCTTGACTCTAAACTCAGCAAAATGTTCCTTCACAAACCACAGAGGCTTCTCTGTTAATCTGTCCGTCCCACTGACCACAATCAGTGGATTTATCTTCAACAATTAAAAAAAGGCACTTTGGCAAATTCAACATTTGTAGCATAAAAAAAGAAGAAATAGAAAAAAGACTCGTAAAAAATAAGTTATTACAAAAGTTTTTAGGACAAAGATGGTGAAGGCCTCCTCTCCCTCCTCCAGAAGCAGTTTTTGAGTTCAGAGGGAGTATGTTTGGTCCATATTTGGACTGCATAGAGGGACGAAGGCACATGTCAGAGCTAATACTTCTGCATCAGTGGCACTTTAACAGTCTTGATCTCAGCTATATGCGAGGACTTCTGAATGATGCAGCTGGTTGTCCCAGAGACGCCGTCCTTCCCTTGTGCCAAGTTGGTCAAGGCCATGGCGGCGTTGATCTCCTTCCAGTACGTCTCATCTTTGCCCTTCACCTTCTCCTTCTGCGTAGCTGCGACGCCACCGCTCCCACTGATGATCAGCAGAATGTGCAAACATGCAGAGAAAGAACAAAACATAAAGATTTAGAGGTCACGCTCAGCTCGTGATCCCAGAGATTTGATCTGGTGGTAGAAGGTCCACTCACTTGTCACATTTACTTGATCCATGATGGTCTGTGGTTTCTGAAAGCATATGGAGAAAAACAGAAGGTGAACTTTGAGTTCTCTGGGCTCAGAGATTTCCTAAACCTTTGTATTCGGGAAACGTGTGTGTGTGTGTGTGTGTGTGTGTGTGTGTGTGTGTGTGTACACCAAACACGTGTTGCTCTGTTTTCTCTCTTCACTCAAGACCAAAATACGTCTTTTAGCATGAAGCCATCAAGCATAAAGGTGACTAATAGTATCGACTTGAAAGATGTTTCTTATGAGTCATAAACTCCGTGCTCTAATATTTTGTTGGAAAACAAATGGGCCTGGGCCAACGTAATCGAGTTGTCTGAAGAAATCAGATCAGAAGTGACCGAGCATTACTGATCTGAGAGGGAATGGAGAGAGAGAGAGATGGATGCCTGCTCGGTTTTTCTCCTCAAATGGAAGCAATCTTTATCTCATATGTGAAACATTAGCAAGTCATTAAAGATCGAACCTAAGCTTTTCTGCAGGGCAGCGGGGTGTTTACTGCTGTTTACTGTGTTTGTGTGTGTGTGTGTGTGTGTGTGTGTGTGTGTGTCTGGGGGGTTATTGGTGTGTATGGGGCCGACCTGTCTCCTGTCTCGGGTTCAGTCTAAGGTTAAGTTCGACCAGCAGTGATTTTGACTACACAAGCTTGGCGTTTCATGAGGGGCTGAGCATCTGGATTCTCTAGCTGTGCAGCCTCCAGGTGCTGGATTAACTAAACACTCAGCTAAGGCCCGGTGAGCTTTTCAGAACTTTGGTTTTCATCAATGACCCACGCATGTTTAAAATGGATAAATACTGGTAGGTTTCCATTTAGTCCGACAATATCTGCAGCAGCACGACTCTAGGAATGAACCACTCTAGTGATTCTCTGCACTTTTAATAAAACAAAAACGTAAACAAGAGGCTGGTTTTTATGTTTATTCATTTAGCAGACGCTTTTATCCAAAGCGACTTACAATTTCAAACCCGTAGGGCATGTTGTGATCTGTGGGGGGAACCGGAGAACCCGGAGGAAACCCACGCATGCATGGGGAGAACACGCAACTCCACGCAGAAAGGCCGCAGCAGAGTTTCGAACCTGCGACCTTTGTGCTGCGAGGCAACAGTGCTAACCACTGCGCCACCATGCAGCCACTAAAACCACTATCATTAAAATACACAAGTGAATCATCTCATTATAAGACAACCTGCAGCCTGCATCTGTGTTTGTTTGACTGTTAAGCCTGGTTCACACAGCTGAATTTAAGAATTGTCTGATTAATTTTCTAAACATGACACCACACATGCTGTGATATAAAATCATGGCTGTAACATTTTTGGTCTTCCAGTGACTGGTGTCCAACTAAACACGTCAAACATGATCCCATTTCACTCACAGACGTTCCCAGATTAGACGGGAAATCTCGTAAAACCCTTCACAACTTTGGAGTAAACAAACATGGCGGAGAAGGAGGAGGATTTGGATCCCCTCTGTGCAGCGTGCTTCCATCACGCTGCTTTCTGATTGGCTACATATGACATTCAACAGCCTGCACGCTCATCTGTCCTCGTGGCACTCATCACATGCTCCAATATCAAACGGAGACTGTAAAAAAATCCTGAACATCACTGATTTATGCTCTGAGCATTCCCTACATCCTTCTGAGCAGACCAGAGCACTCTTAATACACCACACACAGCAGGAATATCTGATAGGATTATCTTTGGGCAAGCAGACACATCCTGTGTCAGAAGAGGTAAATCAGACATAAGTATCCTGCGAACCAGCCTGGAATTGAATTGAACTAAATGTGTTCAAACTTTGGCAAGACCTAACTAAGTTTAGGTTTTAATCTAATTTAAGATTGTCATGCTAAAAACTAATTCCCACTACGGTCAAATAGTCAAACCTCCACCAGTATGTCGTCTCTATTGCTGATTTTCACCAAGTCCTCTGCAGATTTCTACTGACATCATGTGTTCAGAGATCTACAAGCTACATAAGCATCCCAATAATCTTCCTGGTTCTCTGCTACTTTCCATTCTAGTTTTCCAAAAGCTATTCTCAAGCCTCCTGACCCACGTGGACAGAACACAGTTTACAATGCCCCAGGCTGATGTGGACCTGATTATAACATTTCCTGCAGTTTTCCAGTTTGTTTTGTAATAGCTGTAAATTCCTCAGAGAAGGAATCCTCTTCTGCTGATCGTTCTTAGAAGAAGAGAAGGAATGTGCGAGAAAGCGATGAGGACGTGATAACCCAGAGGTACAGACCGCAGGGTGAGATTTCAGGTTTCACTGCTTCGAATGGTTCCAACAACATCCTCACATTCTGATCGTGCCACAACTCCCTGCTGTCCTGTCTTCCCCTTTATTTAGCTTTATCAGTGAGTGTCTTTTGTTTTAGTGATATTCCCAGAGTTCCTCATGCTCTGTCCTCCAAGAGTTCCCGCCTCGTTGCAGATTTTTATTGTAACACCGCCTGACCCAGGTGCTGGAGAGACTGACCATTCCAGATGCTGAGCCAAAACAAATTCTGTTTCCTTTTTTCAAACTCAGGATGACTGTTTTGTCTCCAAAATCGCATTCTGAAAGCCTCTGACACTATCCATCTGTTCCCTGTCTCCCAATTTGGAATGCTTTACGTTTCAGGCGTATCTTGAAAACTCCACTGTTTTAATACCATTTAAAAAGGCAAAGGCATCCTTTTTCAACAGATTTTAGCAGCAGTTGTTTCCAGAAGTATCTGAAAAATGGAAAGATAATCAGAGTTACCATGTATCCAGAGGCCCCCTCATGGGACTGGACACCAATCTGAACCCTTTGAGAGCTCCTAACTCCAGAATCTGGAAGTGCACCGCTATACAAGATTTCCAAAAGCCTGTGCCTAAAACATCTGAAACTCAGGTTTTTAAAAACAAGAGCAGTGCCAACAACTCAATAAATGGCCAATAAATCACAGATACTTTTTCCAACTTAAAAAAAAAAAACATATTATTTGCTTTTCTACTCTGCTACTGAACACTCCGTCAGCTCTGCTGTTGCATCTGGGCTCTTCTGACAGTGGGGTTTTATGAGCCACCAAATGGGGAAGCTAAGAAGCCTGATGGTTTCTGGCATCATGGAGGAAGTCCAAAAATACTAGCTCACTTAACTGTGAGAAGAGGAAGAGGGGCAAAAAGGAAAACGGGCCAAAAACAAACAAAAAATATGACTAGTCTTACAAAAATGTGTTGAAAAGATGCACGTGCAGGACCTGACCGGTAGGAAGGTGTAGGTGACATGATGTTGAACCTGTTAAATGAAGGTGGAGGAGGGTGGCCTTCTAACATCGGTTCCATCTGGTGCAGTTGTTAGCAACACAACAAACAAAGGCCGAGCCGAACAAACCACGGGCTGGGCTTAATTAAGACACCAAATAAAACACACACACACACACACACACACACACACACACACACACACACACACACACACACACACACACACACACACACACACACACACACACACACACACACACACACACACACACACACACACACACACACACACACACAGTTGGAGTGTGTACAGGCAAGAATCTGGAGATCTATATCTCAATACCAGGGAGATGAAACAATATATCGCGATAATAATTTTTAAGGCTGAATTTTATTGGAAAATTCAGGCCAGACACTTCCAGGACGCAGCCAGTGTTATCGCAAATCTCGTTGGTTGCTCCGCCACAACGGAAGTGGTAAACACTGCTGCCACCTAGCACACGGAGTTTGAATTGCACCACACACACACAAAAAAAACAAAAAAAAAAAACAGCCAATGTTTGCATGTAAATTCTAAAAAAATATATATACACTGGTTTAAATTATAGATTCAGTATCATATAACAAAATATTGCTATCTTTTATCAATATTATGTAAAAATATTTCAGGTGAAAAAATATATTTAAAAAAGCCTAATGAATAATTCATATTTTCCCTGCTGTGAGTAGCTCTTATGTATCCATTTTGGTAATACATTTACAGCGGTCTCTAGTAGGAATGGATGCAATGTAAGTTGTTCAGTGGGGCAAAAAAGCTCGGGTGCAAATGTTTGAGGACGTAGAGGTAAACTTGAAGATAAATTAGAAGAACACGGTATCTTGCCTCTGATTGGCTAACAGAAACACAACACTACCACAAATATCACAAGCCAGGAAGAGTTCTGCTGTGTGGTTGAGTTGCTAATGCTAACGTTAACTTCTACTAGTCGAGATGTTCTCTGCTGTTTCCTGGACACTAAACCAATAACAGCCGTTTTGAGGGTGAATTCATGAAAGTTAAGCGACAGTGTGATGTAGATCCATCAGGATTTTCGAATCCTAGTTTCCCCATCTGTTTTCTATCAGAAGCTAACACAGGAGATAGGTGTAGGAGACTATTTTCATGTTCAGCCTGCATGAAAAACTCCGTGTGACTGATTATAATCAGAAATAATTATTAAAAATGTTTTTTTCAGTTAAGTTGTCCTTAAAAATGCTCATGCAAACTTTATCTTGAAAACTTTCACACTAGCCCTAATTTTCCACATGGTTATTGACTATTTGCTGTCGAGCTAATTAGAATTAGCACTTTTTGTTTAGCATGTAACAGCTGGAGTTTTGTATTTTTGTCACACTAGCTGTGTAATGTGAAACACAGCAGGTTCACCAACGAGTGTTAGTAGAAATAAGAATTTTCTTTAGCGACTTGAGTAATTTTAAGACTACAGCAGTTCCTTTTGACTTTGTCAAAAATAGCTGTTAGCTTATCAATCCTGGCAGAACATTTCTCCAATTTCAAAGAGCTTCTCACAGGTAAGATGTACTTATTCATAACGTACATTTTCTTTTGATTAGAATGCAGGAATCACATATTTGATGATAAGTAGTCAGTAAATCAGCTGTTCTGTGTGCAGAATGTAAAATGAGCTTAAACAATTAAAGCTGATGAAATGATGGTAAAACAGTTGTTTGAAGACTAACTGTGGATCTCTGAGACTTTA